CGCCGCCTCGTCACCGAAGAGGAGCTGCGCCATCGGTGCGGCGGCGCGGCCGGGCGCGCGGACGGGAGGGCGCAGCAACGCCGGACGGACGGCCGCGGAGAAGCCCACAAGAAGATGGAAGATTTCAGTCTGCATGGGAGGCCCTAAATAAAATAATTGAATCATGCTCCAAGTGCTCCAAGTGCTCCAATCGCACATCGCCGGCTGAGCTCACGCTGCCAATCTCGAGGCCTCGCGTATGCAGCGCCCCCCGAATTGTGGTCTAGAGAGGCGTTATCGGCCGCGCCCGCCGCTCAAGTCCCTTGGAACAGGGTGTCGGAGAGAGAGGGTGAGGATCCCGTACCGTGGCGGGTTGCGGCCTTACGATGCGTCCTCGTCGAGTCGGGTTGCTTGGGATTGCAGCTTGAATTGGGTGGTAAATTCCATCTAAAGCTAAATACTAAATACAGCAGCAGCGCAGCACCCCTTGAACGCCGATGTCGGGTGGCTGGAAAAGTCGGTAGCCCCGGCACGCGCGCGTAGCGCCCGAGGTGCGAGCTTGCTCGGCACCTGGGCGGGACGCGTCCACACGCCGCGGCGCGCCCGTGCGCTGGCGGCGCTCGCCCGCGCTGGCGTGACAACACTCGACACCCGCTCGACACCCTCGACACCCTCGACACCCTCGACACCCCTCGACACCCCTCGACACCCCTCGACACGGTCAAGCATGGTTTCAGCCTCGACAGGCCTCGACAGGCCTCGACAGGCCTCGACAGGCCTCGACAGGCCTCGACAGGCCTCGACACCTCTATCCCTCGACAGCAGCTCGACACCCTCGACACCGGGCCTCGACACCTCGACACCAGGGCTACAGATAGACCCTCCAATCATGAGAAACCTCTAACCTGATCGGTCGTACTGACCGCCGACCAGTGAGATCACTCCAAGGCGCTGCGTAGCGAGGAGCTCTTCCAGCCGTGCGTGGGATGGCGAGGGCTCGCACCTCAACCTCTCACAGACAAGCACACAGCGCCATAGGACGTATTTTCTTCTCAATAACAAGGCTGTGTCAATCCCCCGCACCACCGCCGCCACCGCCTCGCGCGTTTAGCGGGGGGTCGGAGGAGCCTATAAAGAAAAGAAACGCAACGTGCAAGGTGCTTTTCGCGCGCGCAACGCGTTGTCGCCGGCGGCCTCTCTCGCCTCTCTCGGCGCTCCATCCGTGGCGCTCTTTTCCTCTCCATGGCCGCGCCGGCATCCGCCCTCGCGGCGCGCATGCACGCCCTGCCACGCAACGAGCTCGCCGATCTCGCCGAGCTCATCGCGCGTGTGTGCGCCGTCAGCACGGGCGCAGACACGCGCGATGAGCTCGCATTCCCTTCCGCACACGCTGAAACGAGAGAGCACGACGACCTCGTCGAGCTCACCGCGCGCATGTGCCACGCGAGCGCCGATGCGCTCAGCCTCGCCAACGCCGCCCTCTCCGAGCACGTCCCTCCGTGGGCCGTGGAGGACGTGCTTCTCTCTCCCGACCTGCTTCCGCGCATCTTTGCGACGCTCGAGCTCGAGGACGGCGCCGCCGCCGCCGCCTGCTCGGCCTGGCTGCGCTGCTGGATCGACACGGACGAGCAGCGGCGTGGGCTCCGGCCGGCGGAGCTTGGGCCGCTGCCGCCGGGCTTTGACCTGGAGCATGTTTCAGGGCTGGCTGCGCATCCGTCGGGCGAGATGATGGCGTTCACCCTGAGGGGTAACAACGCTGTCATCTTTGTCCTGGACCCGTCGCTGCAAGAGGTTCGGCAGATCTTGTCGGGCCCAACCTGCATCTCCTTCTGCTTCTCCGAGAACCGCCTTTTTGCGTGCATGAGCGGCGCGCGCATCATCAGCTACAGCACCGATTCCTTTGATGAGGTTGCCCGCTACACGGAAGAAGAGCTCGACTACGAAGAATATTACGACTCGGTCGTTGGACCAAACGGGATGGTGCACGCTGTGGCAACTTATGATGACCCCGATGAGCTCGACCAGGAGGGAGTCTCCGAGGCGATCGTCGCCTTTGACCCGATGACGCTGGAGCGGCGCCTTCACTTTGGCCTCGGCGTCTTCAGCAAGGAGATCTACGGGCTCGCCTTCATCGGCGACGAGCTCTACGCAGGAGACAGGCGCGGCCGCAGCATCCGCGTCTTCTCGCTCGCTGGCGTGCACTTGCGGGAGATCAAGGGCGACTGGCGGGAGCCGTGCCGCTTGCTGCACCACAGCAGCCGGCTCTACCTGAGCGAGCAGCGCGGCGATGGGGAGGAGGAGGAGGAAGAGGAGGAGGAGGAGGAGGCCTCGGGCGAGGTCGAGGCGACATGGTCTGAGGACAGGAAGGCGGCCGGCAAGCGCATCTTCGTCCTCACTCCGGAGGGCGAGACGCTGCAGGTCTGGAAGACAGACAGCGACATCTCTGGCATGTACATCTTTGGGCGCGTGCTGATCGCAAAGGTCGGCGCATACATGGCGGGTGAGTTCATCACGCTCAAGGGCATTTGAGAGGCGAGAGCCTCGCTCCGCAGCGCGTGTGCGGTGTGGGCCCGACGCCACCGACGCACGCGCTGACGGCACGCAGCTCGAGTGGCGTGCACGGCGCGGTTGTTAGTACAGAAGCCGGTCGGGACTCGGGTGTGGACTGTGGTGCGTGCACGGTCGCGCGCATTGTGTCGTACTGGGGTTTGCCAGTGTTCCTCTAAAAATGAACACCACAGAGAGCATACAGATACACCGGTCACCGCGCCGCAAAGGATATACACAGAGGAACGCATGCGCGCGATCCACGATCAGGCAATCCGTCAGGGGCGGCGACCCCCCCATCTACAGATGACATGCGCATCCTAGATGCCAAACGCCATCTAGGATGCGTTTACCATCTAAGGATACCGGGTGTCTCCACTATGATTGGGTTCTCCAAGAAGATTTAATCATCTTTAGATGGTGCCCCGCGTCTTTTGATAGCGCGTGACATCTCTCAGATACTGCAGTCGTCTTCAGACGCACAATAAGAACCCGAAATAAAAACCAGTCTTACGGTCTTACATATAGGCAACCGCAACCGTCCATGTAGTAAAGTCAGCATTAGCACAAGGGCTAAGTGCCCCCCACCATCACTCACTGGCTCCCAGTTCCATCACCATCAGTAGTATTCCACAAGTATTCCGACAGAGCAGTTAGTCACATCTCACTTAGCATAGCAACTGAAATTAGCATATATTCACAGTCTCCATTCTAACTTTGATCCAACGGGCTCACACGCCGCTCAAGTCTTTATAATTTAACTTGCATTTTAATCATTACATTAAATGCCAAGCATCTTGGGATGCGAAGCATCTTCAGATGGTTCGAGCATCCCAGGATGCTCCGGCATCTTAGTTGAAAAAAACATCTAGAGATGCTCGATCATAGGCAAGACAGTGTGCAGTCCAAACTTAGATGCATGTTATCTTAATTAAGATGCGCATATCATCTGTAGATGGGGGGGGCGCCGCCCCTGACGATGAGCACCCCGTGCATAGGAAAGCGCGGAGTCGTGTGCGCGGCCGCGTGCAGCTGCAAAGAGCGAGGGTCCTAGCCACCCTTCTCTCTGCAGGCACGGCGGCAGGGCCGCGCAGCCCGCGCCCACCCAGAAGGCGTTCGCGTGTGTGGTGTGGCGTGTGAGTATGTGTGCGTGCAGGCATCGTGCATCGACACGACGAGATGACCGCGGTGCGGGCTACTTAGCTGACAGCAATGGCCGCACAAGTTACGGCGAATTCCCATGAAAACAAGTTAAAATTCACGCAAAAAATCGAAAAAAATCGGCGCCTGCGGCGGGCTGGGGGACCCCATCCCCCCCCCGCATGGGTGCCCCCTAGCCCCCCCGCCTTCCCCCACTGGGCTCTGGGTTGGGCCAGGTACCAATTTTGTCGAATTTATTTCAAAATCTGTAGGTGCGGAGCGCCTGCATAAATTTTGAAGAAATTTGCAGTCGGGCCTGATTTTCATCAAGATCTTTCAAATTTGCCGTGTGGAGTTGGGGGGTGGGCTAGGTTAGGGTTATTAGAGGGTTAGAGGGTTAGGGTTAGGGTTAGGGTTAGGGTTAGTCTTGTTGTGTCTGTATATGCCAGCGTTGCAGGGTTCTGCGCTGGGATCTGGCCCCACAGCGCCGACGACTAAGACTCAGCCCCACACGCTGACCTAGGGTTAGGGTTAGGGTTAGGGTTAGGGTTAGGGTTAGGTCTAGGGTTAGTCTTCTGTGTTTGTATGCCAGCGTTGCAGAGTTCCGCGCTGGGATCTGGCCCCAGCGCCGACGAGTAAGACTCAGCACCGCACGCTGACCCCACCAAATGCCGCCTCAGGGCGCCAGGCCGCCAGCCACCTCTTACACGCGGCCGGCGCCCTCTCCGCGCGGCAAAAGGGTCGAGCGTCCGAGTGGGAGAGTCGCGACATGTCTGCGCACCCGCGTGCCGATGGGCGGCACACGCAAGCGAGAGAGGCCCTGTCACGCCGCCAGTAGCGTTCTCCGCACTCCCCACGCCACCAATTGCCGCCTCAGGGCGCCAGCCACCTCTTACACGCGGCCGGCGCCCTCTCGCGGCAAAAGGGTCGAGCGAGCGGGCAGAGTCGCGATGTGGCCTGGGCGCACCTGGGTGTTCGCCGCCTATATGTTCTATCCTGTGCCAAGACGGACACGTTTTGACAATCAAAATCTACCTCAAAATTTGCGGCCGCCCCTCGAAATTTGCTGATCAAAATTTGCGGTGGCCCGGATCGAAACCTGTACCCCAGACCCAGAGGAGGCGGTGCTAGCGTCAGTGACTTTTGTCGATGTTGGCTAGAAGTGCTGCACCTTTTTGAGAATTTCACCCGGAGAGAGTCAAAAGAATTCTTAAAATACAAGCCGCTCTCACAGCACACTGGCACGACAAGGGCGCGGACTGAGTCAAAAGAAAGGCCACCTGCGGCGTTCATTTCCTCCTCGCCCAACCAAGACCCTCGCCCCCAACGACCCGCTACGTGCCGACGAGCGCAGCGAGCACCGCCGCCGCCGCCGACTCGCCGCTCTGGACGCAGCCGTCGAAGCGAGAGCCGAGCGGCGAGAATGCGTCGCCCGCCAAAACGAGCGCAGGCGCTGCGCGGCCGCCCGCTGCCGGGCGCAGCGGCAGGCAGGCTGCGCCGCCGGGCAGCGCCACCGGGTACCGCACCTGCGACACCCTCCACGGGCGCAGGACGAGGCTCTCGGGCTCGGGCAGCCACGGAAGCAGCTTGCCGACCCGCGCGCGCAGGTCCGCGAGCACCGACTCCTCGGGCTCGGCCGCCTTGAGCGCGCGGATCCCGTACGGCACAGACGTGTGCACCACCAGGCTGACCGCGCCGCCATCCTCGCCGCCACGCTTGGCCGAGTCGTGGGCGAGGTAGACGATCGCGTCGTCGTCGGCCTTGCTCACGTACCGCGCGGCCCAGTCGATGTGGGCCGCAAAGACCGCGGCGGCCGACGCAGGGTAGAAGAGCGTGAGCGCGTACCGCGACGAGTACTGCACGCCGGTGAGGTCGGCCCGGCCGACGCCACTTGCGCCGTCGAGCCAGGCGCCGCCCTCGCCCGTGTCGATCAGCGCGAGCATGTCCGGGATCGGACACGCCACCACGACGCCATCGAACTGCTCGCAACGCCCGTCTGCAGACGTCAGCTCCCAGCGGCTGCGCGCCTCCTCGCCCCGCGCGGCGACGTGGCGAAGCGCGGTTGCGCGCCGAGAGCAGCAGGGACTCAGCGAGCTCATAGAAAAGACGCGCTCGACGATCGATGCGACGCCTTGCGGGGCGACGTAGTTGGTCCCGCCCCCATCAGCAGCGCGGCCGCCCTCGATGCGGCCGCGCATCGGGACGAGGACGCCGGCCGCGGCGAGGGAGTCGTAGAGCGGCTTGTGCGCTTCAGCGACATCCGCGTCGTCCGTGACCGTCACGTACTGGGCGCCGCTGTCGGCGAGGCCAGTCGCACCGCCGAGCACAGTCGTGCGCTCGGTCATCATGCGACCGCCGAGCTGCGCGAGGCCTTCCCAGACGACGACGCTCTCCGCCGGCAGCGCCCGCCGCAGCGCACGGCCGACGGCGGCGCCAGTCAACCCGCCACCGACGATGGCGACGCGCACGGGCGTCGTAGTCGGCATGGGAATAGGTGACATATATGTAGCTGGCCGTGACAGGCCATCGGCGCCACCGCAGCCTCCCTCGCCGCCGTCCCAACCTTCCCTGCCGCCCCCGCCGCCCCCGCAGCCCCCAGCAGCACCTTTGCCGCCGCCACTTCCATTGCCAGGCCCGGGAGGCCAAGAGGCTAGCGGGGCCGACACCCTTGCGATCGCGGTGGGGTCGAGTGCTGGGGCCATCGTCCTCGTCGCCGCGATCGGCTGCAGCTGCGCGCTCGTATACCGACGGCAGACGAGGAAGAGGCGGAGCAGGGCGCGCGAGGAGCGCCTCACGGTCCGAGTGGAGCCACACCAGGAGGTGGAGCTCGCGCAGGTGGAGCCACGCCAAGAGGCCGTCCAAACATGTCCAGAAGGTCCAGAAGGTGTCCACGGCGGAGAGGGCGGCGCGGCGGTGGGCTTAGACTGCTTTCTCCGTCGCAGCCTCGCCCCGGCGTCATCCCGCGGCTTCACCTCGGACGAGCTTGACGAGGAGTCCGCCCGCCTTGTGGCGCGAGCGGATCCTCGCACGGGCGGGCGGACGGAGACCGGATGACGGAGCTGGAGGCCGGCGGAGAGGGCGGCCCGGGGCGGCGGTGGGCTTAGAGACTGCTTTGGGGAATTTCAACGCGGAAATTTTCTTTTCCACCTCATGCTCCCGGCTGCCGCCATCGGCGTCTAGCTTCATTTTCTCCACCGCGTGAGCGCACGCGAACAAAGGACGGAATATTTATTCGGCCGGAGCTGGGCCGCATAAATTGGGAGACGGACTGTGAAGGACGTCAGCAAGTTAGACGTTTCACTCTCCAGAATCGCGCGCACCGCGATGGTGCGCGCGTGTATCATGGCACCGCTCGCGCTCCTGCTGCTCAGAGAGCATGCCGAGTGCGAGCTGGGAGCGAGGATGGTCGGCACGAGCAGAGCGTCATGCATGGACGCGTGAGGCCTGCTCGACGACGAGTTGTGCTGGTTGTGGTGCACGCCAAAGCTGCTGGTTGAGGATCAGGCAGCGGCGACGAGGTGGTGCTGCCACGTCGGAACTGGCGACGCAGCTGCGCAAGGCGGCGCACGGGAGCGGGCCGGCCAGTGGCGGCAGTGGGCGAGCGAGTCAGAGCTTGCTGGACGCTGTGATGATCACTGATGGACCCTGCTGCGCCTTCTGCGCACTGCATCTGGCTAGGGCAGGAGCGGACTCAGCTAGAGCCTGATGGGGCAGGGGCTGAGGCCCAGGACCGATGGAAATATTGGAGCCGCATGGTCGGAATCGACAGTGGCAGTGGCGACAGCAGCGAGGTATCGATGGGATGCGAGGCTGAAAAGCGGGCGAGGTATCAATCGGATGCGAGGCTGAAAAGCGGCAGGGAGCATCCCATTGCGGCAGCCAGGGCGCGAGCTTCAGAGGCAATGGCGAAGGCTGAGGCCACACTGGGTTGGAGACCCAGCAGCCCGGCTGGAGGTGGAACTGCTTATGTGGGAGTTGCTCGCTGTGCTCATTTGGCGAAGGACGGGCAGCTGGAGCCGGGGGGACATCTCAAGGCGAGATTGCAAAGCCTCGGGCCAGTTGGTTACGGAGACACATAATCGGCTCGAGCGGAGGATTATGCGCCCATATGTGGGCAGGGAGGACGGGCCTCTTCGACAGTTCCGCAGATGAGGCGGTATGTAGTCGCACTTGCTGGTGAGCAGAGAGTGCGGAGGTGAGCTCTCATGGACTGCTGGTAGGGGTCGTGCGACTTCCTAGGAGAGCGGGACTGGAGGGGTTTCATGCCTCCACAGGTTCGCCTTCCTCTTCGGGCGGGAAGAGGGAGGGGAGGGGGATGTCGCCGACATAGACCTAGAGGAAGAGGTCTAGGCCGGGACGTGAGGGCGTGTGACCTTGTGGCGGAGCGCCAGTGTGGCGCTCGGGTTGGAGGCATGCTGCCAGCGTCTTGGGAGGGTCGTGGGCGCCGCGCCCAGACCCTCGTTTTGGGGTGGGGGAGCCACTTCGGTAACACGCGTTTAGGGTGTGGGTGGCTGTTCGAGAAAGAATTCCGAAGCGGAAATCTTTGGGAGATCTCAGGAGATCTCGCGCACTCGAACAGGGCACTCACGTGCGGTTGCTCCTCTCTACCCACTCATGGCGTCTCCTGAGAGGACAGCGCCATGACTGTTGTGCATACACACGTTCGGAGCGGACACGACTAGAATAAATATTCTCCACCGCGTGAGCGCACGCGAACAAAGGACGGAATATTTATTCGGCCGGAGCTGGGCCGCATAAATTGGGAGACGGACTGTGAAGGACGTCAGCAAGTTAGACGTTTCACTCTCCAGAATCGCGCGCACCGCGATGGTGCGCGCGTGTATCATGGCACCGCTCGCGCCCGCCCGCCCGCCACTGCTCGCGTTGGAAGCATGGGATGACGTGGTGAGGTGGGGCAGCAATGATTGCGCAGGCAGGGGAAAATCTCATGTGAACTTCCTTGCGAGACCATTGTAGTGACGGATGCACACGCCGTCCTCGCGGTCTCAGCTTGGTCGGATCCTTGAGTCGCGTCGGGAGGGTTCCTGCCCCTTCCTCGTCACAGCCAGGGACCATCACGGAACCTGGCCAGGGGAGCACCACCGTGCGGGAAGGGTGGCTGTTCGAGAAAGAATTCCGAAGCGGAAATCTTTGGGAGATCTCAGGAGATCTCGCGCACTCGAACAGGGCACTCACGTGCGGTTGCTCCTCTCTACCCACTCATGGCGTCTCCTGAGAGGACAGCGCCATGACTGTTGTGCATACACACGTTCGGAGCGGACACGACTAGAATAAATATTCCCGGCCCTTTTGTCACTCTCATGCTGCTGCCCGGCCTATCCGCGCGCCACGCGCCTCTCCGTTGCGCTGAGTTTTCAGGCACGTCGCTGGAGCAGCTTCGGCAAGCGCAGGCAGCGTTTGTCGACGAGCGGGAGTGGTCGCAGTTCCACACGCCCCGCTCGCTTGCGCTCGCAATGGTTGGCGAGGTCGGCGAGGTGTGTGAGCTGCTGCAGTGGCGTGGCGACGCTGGCGCGTCGCCTGGCCTGCCCGGGTGGACGGACGACGAGCGCGAGGCGCTCGCCGACGAGCTGAGCGACGTCCTGTCGTACGTGGTTCGCCTCGCCGACGTGACGGACATCGACCTCCCCGAGGCCTTCCTGCGAAAGGTGGAAAAGAACAGGGCCAAGTATCCCAGCGAGAGGGCGCGCGGCTCCGCCGCAAAGTACACGCGCTATGCAGATCCTGCCGGTGTTGCGGGCGGCGCGGCCGCGCCGGCTGCCGCGCCGGCTGCTGGGGATGGGGACGGCCGCGAGTGGGGCACGCCGAAGCGCATCGAGGACGCGTACGCGCGAGCCAGGACGCGAGTGCAGGAGCAATCTCCCGCGCCTGCGCCGCCATCCGCCACGCCTGCAGCAGGCGCGTCTACGACGGTGGTGCCGCCGTCGCCGCCGCCGCCAGCCGAGGAGCGGTACTGGGGCACGCCGGACTGGGTCAGCTCCGCGTTCGAGCGGGCGTCAAGGCGAGCGGAGGGCAAGCTCGCCTCGATGTCCGGCGAGGAGGCGGAGGAGGCTGCTGACAAAAGCCGGCCTCGGGACGCGGGTCAGGCCCAGGCCGCCGGCGCAGAGCAGGGCGAGGCGCTGAGCGTGGAGAGCCTCGATGAGCTCTGGGGCCTTATGCAGTACGACGGGCCGGGAGACTCGTTCTGAGTACTCAGGGTGTGCCGGTTGCTTGCTACGCGCGGGCCGGCCCCGAGCGCCCCGAGAGGCGAGAGAGGGATCACGCCGCCGCGTCCCGCGACATCATGCGCGGATGCGCCGATCATAGGCTCAACCTGGTTAACAACCTCGAGCGAATGTTGCTATATGCAGTGATATTGTGTGTGTGGAGTGTGCGCGGTTGTCACTTACTTCTCAGTTTTCTTGCGTCTGCGTGTCAAAATTATCCACACACTCGACACACAAAGTCGCGCGAAGAGAACAAGAACCGACGGTGCTCGCCCGGTGGTCGTGGACGTGGTCGTGCTGGTGGAGCTGGAGGGCACAACGAGGGGCGGGGCAACCCTCGCATGTCGCATCTCTCCACCCACGCCCGGGAGTGTACAGCGCGGCTCCGCGAACTAAGTTCAAAGTTGGTGCCGGTTGCGTGGTCCTTTTTTTCGGCGCCCGCGCGCTACTCGTCAAACAAGCGACGCAGCACGCTCTCTCGCGCCGCAAGCGCCGGGCGGACGTGCGAGCGCTCGAAGCAGGCGACGCGCAGCCGCAGCCGCGGAGAGCCCGGCTGCTGGCGCACGTCCTCGAGCAGCGCCTGCAGCGAGGGCGGAGCCGCCGGTCAGAGGGCGTGAGGACCAGCGCAGAGGGCGTGAGGACCAGCGCAGAGGGCGTGAGGACCAGCGCAGAGGGCGTGAGGACCAGCGCAGAGGGCGTGAGGACCAGCGCAGCGGCAGCGAGGCTCCCCCAAGCGTGGTCCTCCTCCCGCCCGTGCCTCCACCCACACCAGCGGCGGGTGCGCCACCCTCGTGGTCCGGCGGTGGCTCGCGTCGCTGTGGAGCTATCTGCAGAGAGCGGCGCGCCGTCGCGAGGCCGGCGCACACGCACGGCGCGCTCAGCCCAGTGCCTCCGGTCGCGAGTGTGGGCATCGCCACCGACCAGAGCCCGGCCGCGCGCAGCTCGCCAAACAGGCTGGCGTGCAGCCGCTGGCTCAGGCTGGCGCCGAGCGCCTCCACACGGGACGCATGCTCGGCGCTGCCCACGTCGCCGGAGATGTGCATCTCGTCGAGCAGGTCCAGCACCTCCCGCGGTGGCGTCGTCACCACCATCGCGACCGCCATCGGCGCCAGCGCGCCGCCCTCCACGAGCGTGGCGCTCAGTGGCGCCAGAGGCAGGCGGAGGGAGCGGAGGCCGTGCTCAAAGGAGGCGCCGGCGGCGCGGCGCACGGCGCCCTGCGCGCCGAGGCCGTAGTTGCGGAGGCTCCCAAGGCATGGGCACGCGACCGCGTCCGCACCCGCCAGGTGCTCCGTGACAGAGCCCTCGACCACCTCGAAGCCCGCCGCAACCTCGGCGCGCAGGCGGCGCGCGGCACGGTAGCCGGCGAGGCCGGCGGCCGCGCCCGCCCGCCGCGCCATCTCGGGCGCGGCCGGGCCGAGCGTCCGCCTCGAGACCTCGACCCACAGCTGGTGCGCGTGCTCGCCGCCGAGGAGCGTGTCGCAAAAGCCGTGGCTCACCACGCCGAGCGCGAAGAGCGAGGCGGGGTCGTCGGCGAGCGCGCTGCCGATGGCGGCGTGCAGCTCCGGGACGAGGTGCTCGAGGGTCGGCGGCAAGGGCTCCATGTGGTGTGAGTCGCCAGTGCAGGGCCAGTGGCTGGCCTTCGGCGATACAAGTGCGGCGATAAAGTGCGCGCAGAGGTTTCGATGACCTGAGGTTTCGATGACCTGCCCAAATTTCGGCGTTGCGTTTTTTTCTCGACCCACGTGCCCCACATCCTGAGGCTTGGCACCACCCACCCATCCCGCATCCCCACCCACCTCACGCACGGCCCACCCGGCTGATGAGGCGAGGGAAACCCACCCACACCGACCGACCCATCCCCACCACCCAACTCCCAACCAACCCTCCGGCCACGGGAGACAAAAAACACAAAAAAACGTGTGAGTGTTAGAGTTGTTTGGTATTGCTAAGAATCTCTCTCGGGAGACACAAGCAAGGTAGCTAGCAAAGCACCCAGCCTCGCGCGCCTTATACAGCACAGCCAAGGGCTAGGGCTAGGGCTAGGGCTAGGGCTAGGGCTAGGGTTAGGGTTAGGGTTAGGGTCAGAGAGTTCAAGCCGTTGTGCAGCTCCTAAGAACGGGCCGCTTCGGGTCGGAATGGAGGAACCAGCGGTCCGTTGACGCGAGCTCTCGGTGAATGCTCCGAGTTCTTCGGGTTAGGGTTAGGGTTAGGGTTTAGGGTAGGGTTGTTAGGGTTAGGGTTAGGGTTAGGGTTAGGGTTAGGGTTAGGGGTAGCTTGTTGTCGTCGCGCCGATAAGACAGAGACACGGGCAGCAGACGCGACCCAATCGACGCACCAGAGCATGGTTGGGCGTGAGGAGAGAGATTTGTGTTGTTTGGGCGTGTGAGCCGCCATCTTGGACCGTGTGGTGAGGCGAGTATTTGCAACCGGGAGCTCGCCGCCGCCCCTACACCGCCGCCGCCGCCCTCCCGAGGCCAGATAATAGCCCAAGTCGAAGAGTGGTGTGCGCCCCGCCCTCGGTATCTGGGTGGCAGGCGGGACTAGAGAGGCACGCCAGAGCACGGCCGGGGACGCGAGCCGCCATCTTGGACTGTGAGGCGAGTATTTGCCACCGGGAGCTCGCCGCCGCCTCTACGCCGCCGCCGCCGCCCTCCCGAGGCCAGATAATAGCCCAAGTCGAAGAGTGCGCCCCGGCCTCGACATCTCGGTGGCAGAGGCGACCCAAGGGTAGCGACGCACCAGAGCACGGCTGGGCGTGTGAGCAGCCGTGTTTGACTGTGAGGCGAATATTTGTCGTCGGGAGCGCACCGCCGACTCTCACACCGCCGCCGCCGCTCTCCCGAGGACAGGAGATAATAACGGCCGCCTCGTCGTCGAGCTCGGCGGAGACGATGGTCGCCTCGCGTTTGAACCCCTCGAGCTGCTAGAGCGGCGTCGCACTCGTCGAGCGTAACAGCAGTCCGCCCTCGGATGACTTGTTGAGCGCGCCGTAAGCCGCCCGTACGTACGGCACGCGGCAGTCGGGGAGCGCGATCTCGGTCAGCTGGTGCCGCGCGTCGCGTGGGCACGGTGCGAGGAACGACGACATGCTGTGGCAACGACGAGAGCTGTCGTGTGCCTCGATGCTCGAAGACGCGCGCGAGGCCGAGGGGAGAGAGAGAAACGACCGAACCTTACCCACACACAGACTCCACACACACACACACACAGTCACCACCCACCCACCCACCAACACCATCCGGGGCCTACGAAGCGTTTACCTACCCGCTACCCACCCACTTTTTCAAGAACGGATGTGCACCAGTGCAGGGCTCGTTGTGCGAGTATATGGGCCACGATGTCTCAAATAAGAGGGGTTTGACTCCTACCAGCTCCTGACGCTATCCCTGGCAGCTCTAATGGCCAGGATCAGTAGTGTTGTGATAGAGGGTGCCCATACTAGCGCAGGAGCTGCCACACTCGCCCGGACCGTCCCCTTCTGGGGCCGGTTCCGCAGCCCGCGAGAGCCGACCGCGGGGCTGTGCCGCGGGTGCCTACTGCCGAGTGCCACAAACACTGCGCCGTCCCGCCATCACCTACAGGCTGTCTTGTGTGATGGTTGGGATGTCCAAACGCCACCATCTTGGCTCTTGCGACCTCAAACCCGCGAGCTGTATGGGTGGTCCTGACGTCGACAGACGCCCGATGACCACGGTGAAGCTGAGCCGGAACGCGTCGACAAGTCTCGTCTGAGCCCGTGGCGGTCGCCGGCTGAGTCGCCGTACACGGCCCGGTACCTCAGGCGTCACCTCCGCAGCCTCAGGTCTCACACTCCATCACCTCCGACGGGACGCCGTCGGTGGCACGCTCGGCGGCGAGTTTGTTGCAGCCCCACAGCGAGCACGGCGTCGAGCCTACTCACTCCAGTTGGTTCGGCACACTCGGTGGGGTCCACCGAGTGTGCCGAACGCGCGAGCGGTGCGTCCTGGCAGCCCGCGCTGGCTGCGGAGCTGCAACAAACTCGAGACACGCTTTTTTGGGACATTTTCGACGCTTTTGGCCCATATACTCGCACAACATGCCGCAGAGCCGGCAGAGGCACGTGTTGACTGTTGTGAGAAAAAACGCAATCGCGGCTTCGGGCTTTGTGGAGCCCGCTGTATTTTTTTGCTAGCCTCGATGACAAACGCAAGGCGGATTGGTTCCAGGAAGGCGAATGCGATGACGGCCTCGAGTGTGAGCTCTAGCTAGTGAGTGAGTCTCCTCACACGACAGCACAACCCAGGGCCCAGATCGCAGCACGCGGCTATCGCGCGCCCGAGCGCGGCGGAGGGGGAGGAGCAGCTCTAGTACTCCTCCTCCTCGCCGTCGCCCTCGGCCGACTCGGCGCCGACCTCCTCGTAGTCCTTCTCGAGGGCGGCCATGTCCTCGCGCGCCTCGGAGAACTCGCCCTCCTCCATGCCCTCGCCGACGTACCAGTGCACGAAGGCGCGCTTGGCGTACATGAGGTCGAACTTGTGGTCGATGCGCGAGTAGACCTCGGCGATGCAGGTCGTGTTGGACATCATCGTGACGGCGCGCATCACCTTGGCGAGGTCGCCGCCCGGCACGACCGTGGGCGGCTGGTAGTTGACTGCGCGGGGAGGGATAAACGGCTCGGCGGGCAGGGGGATGCGCGCGCTGGGTTGGAGGCGAGGGGCGGCAACTCACTGCCGCACTTGAAGCCGGTGGGGCACCAGTCGACGAACTGGATGGTGCGCTTCGTCTTGATGGTGGCGACCGCCGAGTTGACGTCCTTGGGCACCACGTCGCCGCGGTACATGAGGCAGCACGCCATGTACTTGCCGTGGCGCGGGTCGACCTTGCAGAGCATCGAGGCGGGCTCGAAGACGGCGTTGGTGATCTCCGAGACGGAGAGCTGCTCGTGGTACGCCTTCTCGGCCGAGATGATGGGCGCGAACGAGGCGACCGCCATATGGATGCGCGGGTACGGCACCAGGTTCGTCTGGAACTCGGTGAGGTCGACGTTGAGCGCGCCGTCGAAGCGGAGCGAGGCGGTCATCGACGAGATGATCTGGGCGGTGAGCCGGTTGAGGTTGGTGTACGTCGGCCGCTCGATGTCGAGGTTGCGGCGGCAGATGTCGTACAGCGCCTCGTTGTCGACCATGAAGGTGACGTCCGTATGCTCGAGCAGCGTGTGCGTCGAGAGGACGCAGTTGTACGGCTCGACGACGGCGGTCGAGACCTGCGGCGCCGGGTAGATGGTGAAGGAGACCTTGGACTTGCGGCCTGCGACGTGGCAGGGGGGCACGGGGGGCAGGTGAGCAATGATCGCGGCTCGTGAAACGCGGCGACGGTCAACGGGGGGGAGCGGGGGGGAGCGCGCGGGCGGCGGAGGCAGGGCGGCAGGGCGGCGGGTCTTGCGAGCGCGCGGGCGTGTGTCCGCACCGTAGTCGACCGAGAGCCGCTCGAGGAGGAGGGCGCCCAGGCCGGAGCCGGTGCCGCCGCCGATGGCGTTGAAGGCGAAGAAGCCCTGCAGGCCGGTGCAGTTGTCTGCGAGCTTACGGATGCGGTCGAGGACGAGGTCGACAATCTCCTTGCCGACGGTGTCTGCGCGGCCGGATGGGGGCGGGGTGAGGAAGTGGAAGGGCAGATGCGCGCGCGCGAGGGCGGTTAGGGGGCAGGGCGTCGCGGGGGCGGGGCGGGCGCGGTAGGGGGAGGGGGTCGGCGGGCGCGGTAGCGGGAGGGATCGGCCGGCGCAATAGCGAGAGGGGGTCGGGGCTGGGGTGGGGGCGGGTGGGAGGGGGGAGCTCACAGTGGCCGCGGGCGTAGTTGTTGGCGGCGTCCTCCTTGCCCGAGATGAGCTGCTCGGGGTGGTAGAGCTGGCGGTACGTGCCCGTGCGGACCTCGTCTGTAGGGGCAGAGGAGGCGGAGAGGCGCTTGTGAGCTCAAGCCACGCGATGCGCGCGCGCGCTCATCACGCGCGCATTGCAGCGGGGGACGCGCCGATGACGGTCGGCTCGAGGTCGATGAAGACCGTGCGGGGCACGTGCTTGCCGGAGCCGGTCTCGGAGAAGAAGGTGTTGAAGGCGTCGTCACCGCCGCCAATCGTCTTGTCGGAGGGCATCTGGCCATCGGGCTGGATGCCGTGCTCGAGGCAGAAGAGCTCCCAGCACGCGTTGCCGGTCTGGATGCCGGCCTGGCCGAGGTGGAGAGTGATGCACTCGCGCTGCGGACACGGGGAGGAGGGAGGTCGTCAGTCGGCGGCGCTCGGGCGCGTGCGGGAGCGGGACGGGAGCGGGAGGCGAGTCGCACCATTTCTACGGTGCTTTTGAGCGGGCTTGCTTTTGAGCGCGCTTGAAATTCGAGAATTTCGAGGGCCACAACTTCCCGAGTTGTCCCGCCCGGTCAAGGGGCCACCCCTGAGGCTCCGCATCAGGGTGTTGCCGCGGCCCGTACCACCACCATACCCGCCTCCCCCCCCCCCCGGCCCCACCCCCACCGCCACGTGGCCATCAATAACCGCACGGACCTAGAAGAAATGTTCTAAAAATCTCTCTCCCCCCGGACCTACACGGACGGACCCTGGCTGGGTGGGGAACCCAGCGCCGGCCCGTCGCCGGCTGGAGTACCAGAGGACCGAGGGATAGCGGTTGCCGTGGCTTCCTGGTTCGCCGCCTCGCCCGCGCAGGGTCTCCGTCGAGTGCACTCGTAGGGCACTCACTGATTGCTCATGCATGGCCGCATGTAGATGATCGAGAGAGAGAGAGAGAGAGATAAGGCTTGGACGTACAAAAATACAGTGGTGCTAGTCTTTTTCTTTGAGCTTAGCCTTCGATGTTATGAAACAACCGCAAGGCGGACATGGCATATCGCTCTCGGGCCCACAGACATCCCGCACACACGCCGCCCCCCGCGCGCGCCCCACACCGGCCGGGAGAATAGGGAGTGACAGCTTGGGACGGCAACAGAACGAGTATCTTGCACTCCATAGGTAGGTAGGTAGAAAGGTACTCCATGTGCAAATATCTTTAGTTTTTTCGTCAGGCTTGTACGCATTCGGCAGGTATTTTTACCACCGAAAGCGAGCGAAGTCGTGAGTTTAGGGGTGTAGAATCGTCAATCCACAGGCCAGGACCGGGGCATGGAGACGGGCGCAGACCTCGCGGCCGTCTCGCCCTGGCGGGCCGGCTATTGGTCCAGTTGGCTCTCCATCCCCGAGGAGGAGCCCTACCGGGAGCTTGAGGCGCAGGCCGGCGCCTCGAGCGGCGCGGACGCCTCTGCCGCTGGCGGCGACGCGCCCGCTGTGGACTGGCGGGAGGGACGGGATGCCGCCGCGCCGAGGGAGGAGGTGCCGCCCGCTCCGAGCGTGGACCGTCCGGGCCTGCTTCAATGGCGCGCGCGCCCGCCGAGTTTCGTTCCCGTCCCGCCCCGCCTCGCCTGACGCATGCCAGTCCGCACCGCGAGCCGCGGCCCGACGCCCCGTTGGGCTGCTCGCAGGCGTCCGCGCGCCCGGCACGTGTTCATTGGGTCGTTCATCTGCTTAGCCCTGGTCACCATCGCCTTTCGGATGACGGTGCGCCGCGCTAACCTCTCCCAGCGAGGGCGCAGACCAGCGAGGGGGCGAGAAGCCTTGGGCAAAGAGTGCGGGGGCAGCCGCAGGGGGAACGTGCCCCTCTCCACCCCGACCCGCCGCAGGGGAGCAGCCTAAGCGGCTCGCCCTCGGCCACCCGCAGGCGCAGCAGCTCGTCAACGCGTCCGAGATCACAATCGAGCGATTCGCGCTGACGCGGCCGATGGGCGACGGCGCAGAGGCGTCGATCGACGCAAAGCTGGTCCTGCCACGGATCGGCTTCGGCGCGGCGCTGCGGGGCACCGAGCTGGTGCTAAACTATCGGGATCGGCCGTGCGGCCGCCTCACCGCGAGAGAGCCGATCCTGCTCGGCGACGGCGGCGAGGCTCGCTTCCAGCTGCACGGCGCGCTGTCGGTGCGCAAGCCTTGCGGCGCTGTCCCGCGACGCCCGCGCGGGGGGGGGGGGTAGTCGTGCCGCGACGCGGCCCGGAGCCTGGGCGCAGGTGACCGAGTTTGGCGTCTTCAAGCAGCTCGCGGGGGAGCTGCTCGTCGCGCCCAACCTCACCCTCGGCTTGCGCGGCGGCCTCACGCTAGGGGTGCCCCCCCTTCCGCTGCCGGTCGGCGCCGTGCTCGAGCGGGAGGTCGCGATGAAGGGTGCGTCAGCCTAGAAGGGGAATGCGTAGTCACGTCTCGCAACCAGCACTCGAGAGACACGCGCTCCACTGTCTCCCGCTGCATCCCGCACTGTATTCCGCTGTCCTCCTCCCCGTTGTCTTCACGCGGTGCTCTGAAGACGCTGCACAAGACCACCTTTGTGCCCCCGAGGTTGGCGCATTCACAACTTGGGCTGCCCATATCTCCCCATATCTCCCCATATCTCCCACCCCGAGGTTGGCGTGTTCGCAACGCAGGAGCGTCGGGGCTGGACGTGCGGATCGTGCACTTCTCGTTCCGCGACGGGCAGCCGCGCGAGTTCCCGGGCCGGCCCAGCCCGCTGCCACTCGTCCTCGAGATACACGTCGAAGTCAACAACCCCTCCTCGTTTGACTTTTCGCCGCTCGGCCAGCTGCAGCTCGGCATCGCGCCGAGCTCGGGGGCCTGCGACCTTCGCGGTGTGGACAGCGGCTCCTCACACCTCTGGCCGTGAACAGGCATCGCGTCGGCCTCGGGCCTGCGGTTTGCGATGGTTCGGACGGACAGCAACGTCGACCTGCCGCCGGGTATGTCCAACCTGTCGCTCAGCGGCGAGCTCGCAGTCGCCGACGAGGACCTGGAGAGGTTCGGCCCGCTGCTCGGCGACTACATCCAGGGCCAGGAGATCCCGCTGCAGAGCATCTTCCTCTCGAGCACCGAGCCGCTCTACCACAAGGCGCGCGCGCGCGCGCGCGGCGCCCCCCCCCCCACACACGTCCCCTGGCCGCTGGGCGTGGGTGGAAACCCCCCCCCCCCCCCCCACCCCCCACCACCACCAACAACAAGGCACTCGGTGGCATCCCGATCACTGCCGCTTTGCCGGGGCTGCTCACCAACAACCAGCCGGCCCGCATCTTCGAGCGCGTCAAGCTGGACATCAACGCGTTCGAGGACGCCTACTCGCTCGCGCGCCGCCGCGACCTGCACGACTACTGCTACATCGAGGGCGCCAATGTCGCTCGACGCCTCCCTCACCTTCGACCAACCGTC